GGGAGGGGAGGGGAGGGGAGAGGAGGGGAAGAGAAAAGGCCAACTGTGGTGGCTCATGCCTTTAATCCCAGAATTTGGGCAGCAGAGGCAGGTGGATCTCAGAGTTCAAAGCCAGCCTGGTCTACATAATGAGTTCTAGGACAGACAGGGCTACACTGTCTGGAAAAAACAAACTAACAAAAAACCAAAACAAACAAAAACCCAAAAGAATTCTTTTGTTTTTCTACTTCTGGAAGTCATTGAGTATCTTCAGATACCCTGTTAAAGTGATAAACACTGTAAACACTTGAAAACTTCTTCCCCGAAGCTCAGAGGCAGCGTAGCAATGCCAGGCTGACCAGTGCTCAGCTCCACAGTCCCTGGGCGGGCCCCCGGCTTACCTGTGCTCCTGTGTGGTGTACTTGAGCAGCTCAGCCAGCTGCAGTGGATATTTGCAGATCTTTTGCACAGGCGTGAGGAGGAAGCCGTCCAGGGCGATGTCGATCATCTGCTGGAGCAGGCGGCAGGCCTCGAAGAAGTGCCGGTACTTGCTGTGCTTCATGAGGTTGGACAGTTCCACACAGGCACCTGGGTGGTTGTTGCAGTACTCCGAGTAGATGGCAAAGCCCTCTTGCTGGAAGGGAAGACAACCTCATCAGCCAGTGGCTCTGAGCTGACTGTGAGGACATCCCTGGAGAAGAGGGGGACAGGCCAATACCCCAAGGGCAATCCAGGCTTGACAGTGGCTTTCATGGCTGGTGAGTAGTAAGATTATTTGTGGTCTGGGGGTGGATAATTGGGCTCTCTCTCTTTAAGGGTGGGTAGAGGGTACCTTACCACTGTGCTCACTCAGCTCCTGAGCCTAGCAGAGGGGCAAAGCAGTGCTTTGAGGCTTGGTTCAACATCCTCATCCCCTTCCCCTCACTGATAAACTCTGGCTTGGAGGTACTATGTGCTGCTGACACACTGCCTAGGTAATCCTTGGGGCTACTTCCATGCATTATACCTTCTCCAACTGAAAGGCCCCTATCCACTTCTCTTCTCTCAGATGTCTCATTCTGAGGGGCAGCCACACTGCTGCCCTACCCTTCTCTTGCTGTTTGCTCTCCTGGGATTGGAGCTACACTCTTTCCTCTGCCCACCAATCCTTCCCTCAGGACTGGGTGAACATTGCTTTAAAAGTGGGTGCTAGTCTACATCCCTGGCCAGTGCCTTTCCTCCAGCTTCAGTTGTTGGCCCACGTGGTCACAACTGCCCTTCCTTCCCGTTTCCCCTATCCCGCCATGCATGCCTGACCAAGTGTAAATGCGGCGGGTATCCGAACAAGTCCCCTTTTCCCTAGTATGTGATTTCTCAGCCTACCCGATAACACTATGACACAGGTACTAGAGACCACTGCTTTTCCTTTGTTGTTACAATTAGTCTTGCCAGACTTCCCTCAAAAATACCCCTTTTAACAAGTCTTCTTTTCCTTGTCTCCTAGGCCATCACCGGACAGGCCTGACCTGGTGGCAATCAGCAGTTAAGATCTTCTGTGCTTGAGGTCATTCACCTGTCTGCTCTTGCCCTGCTTTTGCTCATCTCCAAAGGTTCTCCCTAGCTGTTCACCCACGTCTCGACGATGCCTGGATACCCAGGGACCCATTCCTGCCTGCATTCCTAAGGAACCACCAGGCTCAGCACTTAGAGGTCCAGCCATTCCTCCAGCTCCAGCCTCCTGCCTCTAGAAAAACCATAAAGTCCAGCACTCAGGAAGTGAGGGGACATTGCTGCCACTGTTAGCACTATTAGAACTATTCTCTAAGCACAGTAATAAAATCTCCAAAATCTTCCATTGTCAGTTATAGTCAATCTAATGGCAAGTGCTAATAACTCATGTCACCAGCAGAGAAACTCTGAGATTGTGTTGCCATCTGCCTATGAGCATGTGACCTTGGATCACTCTATCTCATGGGAAGAAAAATCCCATCTTCCTAATGGCAGTACATGAGGCAAGGCAGAACCCTCTGGAATGTCTTTGGCGGAGACATCTTTCTACACTATTGTCTGACAGGATGTGATTAACGGGGGAACAGTGACATACGTGCTGAAGAAAGCAGGATCCTATTTCACTCAAGTGAGGTTCCTCTTTGTTGTACTGTTTCTCAAGGTCTTTCAGAAACTTTCTTTGGAATTTGTAAATGTCTTCAATGTTTCCGAAAATAGTGGCTAGCTGCGCAACAGTGAACATTCCCGTGTGCTTACGACACTGTCGGATATAGCCCTGCAAAGAACAAAGCGAAGGGTTTTATTTGTTTAGAGACAGTTGAACAGCACAGTTTGTTGTTTCTGTTTGTGTTTTGGCCCACTGCCACAGTCTTGGACTGAATTTTAGTTTAATTTTAGGATAGGGTCTCACTATGTAGCTCAGGCTGGTCTCAAACTTGCAATCCTCCTGATGTAGACTCCCGTGCACTGAGAGATGACAGGTGTGTAGCACCAATCAAAGTGGGGTGAGTTTTAATTAGAATTATTTTTATCTCTGTGAGGCTGATGAGACAGACTTCTACAACTATAATTCACCATAAATATTTTTAAAAACAAAATGAAAGTGAAGAGTTTCACGTGGCCGGCTTCCAATTTTCCAGAAGAGTTTCAAACAGAAGAGTTTACAAATGCATGTTGTCATCGTGTGTTTTGTGTGTACATGTGTTCACGTAGGGTGTGGTGCAAGTGTGTTCATAGTTGTATGAGAGTCAGAGGTCAACCTTCGGTGTCCTTCCTTGGGTAGTGTCCTTTTCGTTTGAACAGAGTCCTTACTAGCCTGGAACTCTCCAAGTAGACGAGGCTGGCTGGTCACAGAGCCCAGGGATCCACCTATCTCTACCTACCCACTGCCAGGCTTACAGATGTGTGTCATGTCTGGCTTCATATTGCCACACTTTCTAGAGTCTAACTTTCCTGGTCAAGGAGATGAAGGAAGTTAAGTGTGTGAAGGCTTGCTATCAAGTCTGATAACCTGAGTCAGTGTGGTTTTGGTTTGTTAAATCATGGCAAAGACCCAAGTACGTCCACGCCACAAACTCCGTCATCACCTGCTTTCATTATACAATAGGAGTCTGTACATCTTTAATCTGAGGCCTGTGCCTACTGAGAGGCCTAACGAACGACTACTCCCCTATGCACATTATCAGAGCTGTGTGCTCTGGCTTGGGAGAGTTAGTGGCATAGGAAGGGAAGACCACATATGCATATATAATTACCTCTGAAGTAGCATTGTATGCTTAAACAGAACTGACCATTTAATAAACAATAAACCACTGCCTTCTTCAGATGTGGAGTGGAATGTGTGAGCATGCATGTGTGGTAGAAGAGTGTGTGGGTAGGCTTGACCATTCAGATACATGTGACCTTAATCACCTCTACACCTTTGTGTGTGTGTGTGTGTGTGTGTGACAGAGAGAGAGACAGAGAGACAGAGAGAGACAGAGAGACAGAGAGAGACAGAGACAGAGACACAGAATGTCTGGGACTCCCAGTTTTGGCTAGATTGGTTGGCCAGAGAGGCCGTGGGATCTGTCCATCTCTGCTTCTCAATGCTGCGGTTATAGACACATGCTGCCATGCCCAGCTTTTATGGATGCTAGGGAATTGAACTCACATCCTCATGCATGTGCAGCAGTCCCCTACAACACTCTACTTTTGTATGAATTTTAAGAGAATACATACTTTGACAATGGAGATTCTAAGCTTAGGGGGCACACTGTCTTCCAACCTGTCCTCTAAATTTCAAGGTCTCAGTTCCCTCATCTGCAACAGGCAACTAAGAGGATGTGTGCCCGGTGATAATGTTGAGAGGAACTGACCTGAGCCGGATAGTGAACAAGGCAGTCCACGGTCCATGCTCCTCAATGCTCAGCCAGAAACTGTGACTCTAAAGACCACACACTTGTATAGCAGTGAGGCGAGCAGGAGCAGGCCATGTTCCTCCATGCCAGAACAGGCTGTCCAGATGTAAGCCTGTCACTAGCACTGAGCGCTCACAGCCGAATGAGCAGTGCTGACATTAGTACCCAGAGCTACGCAGCTCACATGATCCACAAAATGACAACCAGCTTGGGAGCAAGCAGCCTTCCAGCCTCCCATCCATTACTGGTCATTCTCCAAGACCAGATGAGACTACTGGATAACAAGCTGGGCACGGTCGTCAGTGTCTGTGAGCCCAGCAATTGCTACCCAGTTACACTCGGTCTTTCCCCAACTCTCCACTGTAAAGAGACTACCGCTTATCACCGAAAAGACCATGGCAGCATCGCTAGGGAGGACCATATTTTCACCTGTGGGGCAACAGCCCAGCATCTTGCCTGAGCATCTGATGAGATGCACTGGGTCGGAAGAGGTGGCAACCTCTGACTGGTACTGACCTCGCAGATGTCCTTGAGGTGCTTGATATACACTCGCTCGGTGTTCATGATCTCCTGGATGACGTTGGTCCGCATCTGCTGCTGGCTCTCTGGGTGCTTGTGGCGGGCTTTGCTGGTGTCCTCGTCCTGCTCCTCCCCACGGGAGCTGCTGTTGCTCTCGGGCAGCTCCTCTTGATTGACTCGAAGCTGCAGGCCACACACAGGAGGCAGGTGGCTTAGAGAGGAAGTGGTAGCAGGACCACGCCAGAGACTTCCCTGCCGTCTCTCTCTGCCGAGTTATCGGATCACAGTGCCCCCGATAAGTGTTCATGGGCAGAAGCAATGCCAACTAGCTTATTTGCTTCCATTAAGATTATTAAGATTTCTACTCCAACCAGCCTTATTCCCTATGTGTGGTATTAAACACAACGACAGAAGAACTGGGCCTGGGTGAAGACTGAGGTCTACTGAAACTCTACTACAATCCCCTGCCCATGTACACCCCTCCTTGGACAACTCAGAGGGCCACACTTACCCTAACAAAGCTTGCTGGGAACCAGGCCTCTTTGTCTTCATTCCGGCCCCACCACCAGTCCTTGTTAGAGGCTTCCAGGACCTGGATGACATCCCCAGCCTTGAAGCCCAGTTCCTGGTCGTCCATGGTCACATGGTCCCAAAGTGCTTCTGCATACACCACGCTGCCATCGCTGATGAGCTGGAACGGAGACAAGAGAACATGTTTAGCATCCAGCAAAGTGGGCAGATGGAGAGCAGCCACATGCTCTGTATGCTTTCGGAAACTGACTGATGCGTTCTAGTCCTTCTGCAAAAATTCATCCTGTCTAGGTAAACGGGTTGTATGAAATCAATGGAGGAAAACAGTATTAGGTAGGTGTCTGTGACCGGCTCTTAAAGGGCAACTCGGGTCAACTTTAAAAAGGTGTCTATACATGCTGGATGTGGTAACACATATCTGTCATCCCGCCATGTGGGAGGACTTTGAGACCGGGCTCACAAGTTCAAGACTAGCCTGGGCTGTGCAGAAACTCCTTGGCTCACAATGGAGTCACATCATACTAAGTAATCTAAGTCAAAACCATCATAAACCCAGCATGCATTCCCTGAATCTAGTTCCTGTGCATTGTGCTTACGCAGCCTTTTCTACACCCCTATGAGGTCGTCCAACGGGAAGTGTATCACATGATGCGATTCCAAGTGTCACCTAAGTCCCTGAGCACTGTACTGAAAGGGATGGAGACAGAATGGTCATTCTGCACCACTAATCCAAAAATAATCCAAACCTACACAGGCATCTAGCTTTCATGCCGTGGAAAAGTCAGAAACCTGGAGCAGGGAAGGAAGCTGGAGTCTAGTTGCCTAACAAACTCAGTATTTGGAATCATTGCTTTACAAATGTCTTCTGAGCCACCATACTAGATGTCAGAGCTGCACAGTGGTTAGGTGGACACCTTGGTGAGGTCATGCTCCACAGGCTCCACAACAAAGTGTTAAGACGTGGAGATGCCTTCCAGAAAGTTCCAAACAAAAATGGATAATGCAGAGCTAGGCGTGGTGGTGCACGCCTTTTGTCCCAGAACTTGGGAGGCAGAGGTAGGTGAATCTCTGAGGTTGAGGTCAGCCTGATCTACAGAGAGAGTTCCAGGACAGCTACACAGAAAAACCCTGTGGGGGTGTGTGTGTGTGGGGGACACCAAAAGGGAGTCCAAGTGCTAATAATGCATTGTAGTAGAAACAAAACAAACAAAACAACACAAACATGACTGAGAATAAGAACACAGGGTTAATTCCAGCTCTGCCATTTGCAAACAAATCATTTTGCTCCCCCACCCCACCCCCTGCTGTGTTGGGGATAGAACCCAGAGCCTGGTGAACTCAGTGACTCAACTACCCAATCCTTATTTAAGACAGAGTCTCCATAAGCTTCCCAGGGAGGACTTGAACTTGCGAGCTTCCTGCCTTAGCTTTCAGAGTAGTTAGCATCACATGCATATACCAGGCCCAGTGTAACTTCATTAAACAAACACCTAAGCATGTTTGTTAAACTTCAGACCAGTATTTTCATTTACCTCAGAGATCAGCTGTGAGAATAACCTGCAATAATGAACATTTTTTGTTGTTGTTTTTGGTTTTCTTGGTTTTTAAGACAGACAGGTTTCTCTATGAAGTCCTGGCTATCCTGGAATTCACTCTGTAGACTAGGCTAGCCTCGAACTCAGACTTCTCCCTGCCTCTGCCTCTGAAGTGTTGGCACTACCACTGTCCAGCTAACGAACACATTTAAAAAGCTGAAAAGCTAGCTGAAGACCAGTACCTGCTTATCTAAGTGCTTATGGGGACAATTGTCAGAAACCTACAAAGCTCAGTTACAGACATGTTCCCTGGACGGTGACAGAAACTCAGAGTTGGAAACCAGCTAGCAGAGTCGCAGGCTTCAGGATATGCTAGGTAAGAACTAAGCAGATAGCCGCAGCCTTGAGAGCCGAGGGTCTGGTACATGTGCGATTCGAGTACCTCATTGATGGCCAGCTGTTCTCCGCCTGGCTGCAGGTATCGAGGGTTGGCCTGACAGAGCTCCTCATAGCTGAAGTCTTCCTCACTACCATTATCATCCACTAAGGCCGAAGACTCCGCACCTCCATCTGAAGAGACTGCAGGGGAAAGTCAGAGACAGCACGTTTAAAAAGACATGGGCATGGTAGCTCACACCTGTAATCTCAGCACTCAAGAGGCAGAGGTAGGGGAATCACAGCAAATCTGAGGCCAACATGGGTTACACAAGGAGTTACAGACCAGCCAGGGTTACAGAACAGGACACAGCCAAGCTAACAACAACCAATGTATATGGCAAAACAAAATGTAACACTCCTCAAGAAAATGGTTATTTTATTTCACCTAGAGTAGGAAAGTGTTAGGCAATCTCCACTGACACTCTTAAGTCTGAGGTGGCAGCTGGTACCAACAGCAGCTGGGGTTCAGTGTCCCAGAATCTTTGAAGTAGAGCATTTCAGGTATTGCTAAGGGTGTTATTTTGTGAGTCAAGGGGAGAGGGAATATGATTTAGCAGGAAATCCACTCCAGAGTGGATATAAAGAATACAGATAATAGCCAAATATGGGGGTTCATAGCTATGATTCCTGGACCTGGGCTGAGGCAGGAAGATCACCATGGCTTAGAGGCCAACCTAATTTACTAAATAAGACTTTGTTTAAAAGGAAAAGAAACAGAAGAATGTTTTCAAGCAGTGTGTTGATATTCTTGAGGAAGTGGGGAGTCGGAGAATTCCATCACTTTTGACACATTCTTCTGCAGCCTGTGAGGAAACAACTGTGCAGCTGAGGTCAGGAGGCCTCCATGTGGTTGGAATGGCCCACTCCTCCTCTCAGTCCACCCATCCACAAGGAACCGTGCTCAGTATCACAACAGGAAACTGTGGGCATCTTTACCAAATCAGAAAGGAGTTTCAAAGATGAGGGCTTAACCAGGACTAGTGAGGTCACAGATCTTGGAGAACCTAAAACCTCCACTTAAGTAAACCAGCATACTCCCTAACTACGTCTTAAATACTTGCCCTATACTCACAAATAAATGTAGTCCTCGACCCTCATCAAGGAAACTTCTCTTCAGACCCATTACAGAAACCACAACCAATAGAAACACAGAGTCTCAGAGTCCCAGTCTATAAAACACACCCACCCAAGGCTCAGAGAACATTCTGGAAAAGGGGTCAGAAGGATTGTAAGAGCCAGAGGATCTGGGAGTTTGCTGTGAGACTGTGACTCCTAGCAATTACCAAAGCTACACATAAAGTCTGAAACACGAGCCGAAAAGGACAAAAGCAATGGACCCGTGGACTGTACACGGAAGAACTAAAGGCAACTGAAGGATGCCAAGAGTGGGATTATCCAGTACCAAATGGTCAGACCTTAAAACATACATACCAGTACCATTTACAGACCGAACAGGCTGTGTTTACATATTTAGGAATATATTTGTGTACATATATACATGTATGTATGTAACAATGAAGGAAAATGTCACACATATGAGGGAGTAGAAAGGGTATATGGGAGAGCCTGGAGAAAAGAAAGGGAATTGAAACACTTTTTAAAAAATAATTAGCAAAAAAGGTGGGGGTAGCGGTTTGTTTAGAAAACCACAGTACACAGATGTTCTTTTAGAGCAATGGGCTCCTCTCAGCATCGCTGAGTGCTGGACACACACTGATTTGGCCTCCCTCTGCTACAGAAGCAGGGACGTCTCCAGCACCATGTTCTCCAGCAGAAGGTCTGTTGGGTGCTGGGGAACATGGGGGGAATCTCATCTGCCTCAAGGAGCCAAGAACAGCAGCTGGTGAGCTGGAGCTTTGAGGGGAGCAAAGGGGCTCAGTGTCTAACATGCAAGCCACTCACTGACTCACAAACGGTAGAAGGGAGGCTTTAAAGAATAATATCGCTGAGAAATGTTCTTGTGGGGGAGGGGTACCACCTTAGCCATGACACCACGCTAGCCCTGGGCCAACAGCAAAGGGTAGCAAAATCTGAAGCATACATCACATGTGACTCCATGACCCCTTTAATACAAAGCTTCACTTCCAAAGGTTTCCATTTCTTACAACCGTGGTTGAAAAAAAAAGTAAATGGAAATTTCCAGAAATAAACAGTCCCTATGTCTGCTTGCTGGCTTATATTTACGGTGCTACAGATAGAGCGAGCCAGAGCTTTATGCCTACTAGGCAAGTAGCCTTGATCCCTACAGTATATGTTTGTTATTATTGTTATATTTTAATATAATTATTGTTCATCTGAACCTTGTTCGTAGTCTACAACGTCAACATTATCAGAAGTATACACAAGTAGGAAAATCATAGTATATGTCAGGTTTGATCTGGGGTTTCATGTATCCATGAATGTATCTCCTGTGGCCAGGAGGCTTCTGTGCATGGGGTGAAAGGTGAAGATGGGGAGACGGAGGCTGGAGACTCCCAGGGCCACAGAAACCCACGACTGCTCTTTCTGTGTGATTTTTATGACTGGTCTCACTACACAGCCCAGGCTGATCTAGAATTCATATCCCCATGCCACAGCCAAAGGCTGGGTCACAGCAATGTGACACCAATTAGCTTCTTTCTGAGTTTGAAGTCAGGGTGTAATGAGCTTATAGTTCAGGGTCCCTTTACACTGTAGGTTTCAAAAATAACTTTTGCAGAATGTGACAGGGCAGGACTGAATGACTCCGCTACAGTAGGAATGGAAGTGGTGGGCTGCGGAGACAGCAAGGTTCTGGAGGGACTGGTCAAAGGGATAGCATAGGAAGAGGCAGTGAGGTGGCAAGAAGGCTCTTCTGCTACAGCCACCCCACCCCCCACCCTGGGCTGCCCTATCCCATGAACCTAAGCTCTACTCTGTTTCTTCCAGCACATGACCTGGCTGGGTACACTCATAAGCCCATGTTTTCTTGTCCCGTTCCCCGAGGCTGGGGTTCCCTGCCACCTGCAAGCCTCAGTGTTGTTGGAGTGACTCTGCTTTCAGAGCTCTCCCTTCAGTCCTAAGGATGTAGCTGGACACCTGTGCCCAGCTGTGCACTGGCGTTGTCAAGGTTCTCGATACTGATGAGTCCATGAACCTTGGACAAGCTCATGTGACACAGCAGAGCTGGAGGTCTGGCCCACAGTGGCTGCTGGCTGCCTGCAGTGTTCAGTCCCTTCTCCCACCCCAAGCCTCAGTTCCCATCCCTGATTGCAGTCAGGCAAGCTCCGGCTACAGTGTAGTGAGCTGCCTTGGAAAGTGCCTCAGGGAGTGAGCCGAGCTGTTCCTGATCTTGAACCCAAAGCCAAGATGCATAGGACATGCTCAGGAGAGCTCCTACACTGTCCTGAATCTGGTATCTTTTTGATTCCCTAGGGAAAGAGCACCCAGGTGGTGGACAGGGGTAGCCAGTCATGTGTACATGTGTGACAGGAGGCCTCAGCACCTACAGGCTTTCCCCTCTTTTCAGGGATGCAGGGCTAGAGGATGTAAGGTCTTGAGGAAGCCAGACCTCAGCAGTGTGTTCCTTTACATCGTAGCTTCCATTCCCCGTCTGTGGTCACAGGCCTTGCAGGTGCAGAACTGAAGGCTACTTATTACGTACATGGTCTATTACACATTCCCGGGGTATGTTATGGGATGTTATGAAGGAAGTCTTCAGGAAGCAAGAGTAGATTTTCTGCATGCATAAGTCAGCTATCTCGGGCACCAGGAAAAGCACTAAAGATAAAAGCCTTTGTGAACTAGGGGAGGGAACGGGAGTAGGGCTCTGTAGTGGAAACAGCAGCCTGAGTGAGGTCTGGTGGCCTGCCTGGGTCTACAGCTAAAAGGTTCTAATGATTGTGGGTGAGTAGAGACTAGACAAACCCTGGGGCTGGCTGGGGACCAGAGCTGCAGGAATCTTTGGCTGTTGGCCAGCAGCGACCTGGCACTGCCCAACACCACTGGCATTTCTCCTTATCACATTTCAGCTATGGCTGAGCCAGATTCAAAAAAAGAAAAAAGAAAAGCACTGGGGCCTCTCAGAGCAAAACCTTGAAAATGACACTGTTCCCTCAAAGAACCACTGAACAATGCTGGCCCAGTGAGGACTCTGCCACCTGATCTGCCCGTTGCTGGGAAAAATCAGTATTTTTTTTAAAAGCCAGTAGTGATCATCTATAATCCATAATTTACAGGAGTGGAACATAAAGAATTCACTGGGAAAGTGCCAGACTTCACAGGGGTTGCAAAGTGACAAGGGCAAGTGACAAGTGACCTGAGCTGCTGCCTTAAATGCTCACAAGAATGAGGTGGGTCACGGGACAGACTCAACACCACAGTGAGCTCTTGCTGAGCAGTGCAGAAGCAAGGTGGCTTCCATCAGCCCAGGTACACTGACTCAGCCCCACCTACTAACTGGGGTGGGCATGGCTAGGCCAGAAGACATCCAGCCTGTAGGGAAGAACAGCTAGCATAAAGATGAGAAGACGAAAGTTGGACGTGAGGACCACACCAACCTTCCTGCATCCGTCACAACACAGGTACCAAGTGCAAGCTGCAAGACAGGTATGAGTCTATGTCAATACCCCGCCGGCTGCTGTGCTGGCTTCACTTTCTGGCTAAAGAACCCTGGGCAAAGACACCTGACACCTTTCAAGTGCACCCCTGCCAATTGGAATGGAACAGGTTTTCATGTTTCATATACTCATGGTCATTCTTCCTCTCTGGCGTTTCACAGCCTACCTGGACTCTACCTTCCCTTCCAAAGAGGACAAGAACCCAGCCAATTCCCACCTATCTTTCAACACTTTAGCCTGGGCCCCCTAACAGGCCCACTTAGCTACCCCCATGGCCTTCCTGCCTCACCCCACCCACTACCTAGGGTTTGTACCAAGGCAGCTGTTACATCACTCCTAATTCAAACTGCACCACTGCTTATCAGCCTCAGGGGAGAGTCAAAGCCCCAGGTCCGAGACACACCATGTCACCATGGTTCTGATGGCATCCTGATGCTCCTATATGACACACTTCCTCAGACAAGACTCACACTTCTCAACCATTCCATTTAAAAGCTACATCTTCAGGGAGAGGCAGGAGGATTGCCGTAAGTTCAGGGCCAATCACACAAGGGCTAAGCATGG